GAGTCTCACTCTGTCACCCAGGCTGGAGTGCAGTGGCACGATCTCGGCTCACTGCAAGCTCCGACTCCCAGGTTCACGCCATTCTCCTGCCTCAGCCTCCCAAGTAGCTGGGACTACAGGCCCCTGCTACCACACCTGGCTAATTTTTTTGTGTGTTTTTAGTAGAGATGGAGTTTCACCGTGTTAGCCAGTGGTCTCAATCTCCTGACCTCGTGATCCACCTGCCTCGGCCTCCCAAACCAATATTTTTCGTGAATATAGATTCAAAATCCTCTACAAAAATTAAATTCATCATTGTCTAAAAAGAATTATGACAACCAAGTGGGGTTTATCCCACTTATGCAAGGCTGGTTTAACTTTCAAAAACCAATTGCTGTAATCTACCATACAAACATGTAATTCACAAAATAATGAAGAAAAGTCATGATTATGCCAGTCAGCACAGAGAAAGCACTTGATGAAATCCAGCACTTGTTCTTGATAAAAACTCTCAGTCAAGTTTGAATAGAGGGGAACTTCTCTAGTTTGATAAGGAACATCTATAAAAAGCCTATAATATTCTAACTATTTTTTCTTGTACCCATTAACCATCTCCCCACCCTCCCCACCAACTACCCTTCCCAGCCTCCTGTAACCATCCTTCTACTCTCTGTGTCCCTGACATCACTTGTTTTGATTTTTACATAACTAAAAGAGCTTAATTGGATTGTTTGTAACACAAAGGATAAATGCTTGAGGGGATAGATACCTTGTTCTCCATGATGTGGCTATTATGCATTGCATGCCTGTATCAAAATGTCTCATATACCTATAAATATATACAGCTACTATGTACCCACAAAAATTAAAAATAAAAAAATTCTACTGCTAACAGTGGTCTATATCTTAAAGTTATATATTTTTAAACAAAAGAGAAATGATTGGTGTCAGATTTGTGACCTAACATATTCTTCAAATGAATTTTTCTTGCCTTCATGCATGAATGATAATCAGACAGAATAAAAAGCTTTGATCATAGTCTTTTCCTCTCAAAAAAATATGTATTTGTATTTGCACTAGATGATTGTTGTTTTCTCTCATTTACTTTAAGTGATTTCATGGCACAGTGAAGTTGGCCAAAGAAAGTACAGTACTTTCGCAGCAGTTTTGACCGGCTGAACCTAAGTGGTGGTGTCAGTAACTACATATCTATTTATGGAAACTGAAAGTCGGCAACATTTTGCAATGAAGTTGGGGAAAGGGTGCTGATATTGAAGGGTTGACTTTTCTTTCTGAAATTAATGCCTCTCCATTTATCTGCATCCCCACACCGGAATCACAGAATTCTTTGTAAGGCTCAGTCCCTTTGAAATGAATAATTCATTTTTATAAAAAATGATATTTGAAAAAGCTCCAGACAACTCATACTCCTTGATTTTTTAACTATGGGTTTGATAGACATGTAAATTAGAATTTATAGGGAAAATCAGACCCCATTGTGAAAAGCATTAAAGAAAAAGATCTCTTTCCAGTGCCAGAATCTGTAGATGAGCTTATTTTAAATAGACTTTTGAGACTTCTCTGTATCTTCCAAACACATAGCAGATTACCAAAAAAGTATTGTAAAATGTAACTATGAATGGTGTGTGTGAGCTGCTTTCAATTATTCATGTGAACTGTACATTTAACATGAAAAATTCAGTAGAAATAAAATATTTACGCTATTAAGTCATCATCCTATATCTTGAAACTAGCAGTGTAGGAAAGTATGTTTTAAAATATTGGCATAAGCACCTATCTTTCAGCTTTTTAAATCAAGTAAAGGAACCATGGAACTTTTGGGAAATAATGGATGAGATGACATGATAACACCATAATATCAAAATAATTTGGGTGTAGAGCATTGAACTTGGATATAGTAGACTGGCTGTTGATTCTGTTTTGGGCACCAGAGTTACTTAACCTGAGCCTTTTCAGGACTCTTATAGGAATATTTTATCCTCCTTGTCTTACATTTATCTATTTTTTTTCCCAACAAAAAATTGGGAATATGG